GACCCCCCCTTCCCCCCCCTTAACGAATTGAAGCGGTATTGATTAGGGGGGGCCCCCCTCCCCCGCCAAGGGACATGACATCGCAAACATAATCTCCGGGGATTATTTTAAGGTGTTTTCATGATCGTCGTGTCGTCGTCATCGCTTTCGTTCCCCGCCTTGCAAGTTGTTTAGAGCCCTTTGAGGTCTGGTTTTTGCAACTACTGGACCGTCTCTCCAAGACCAGATGTGTCATTCATGTTTTGCTTGATGTGTTGCGCCCCACCAACCTTGACATGTTGGGTTTTCTCAACCATGGCAGGCCATGGTGGGCAAGACTGGAACTTCGGTGGACGCCCATTTGGCCGAATGTGTAGCAGTCCAATTGCCTTTGAGGGCCGGGCATTCAGACATGTTTCATTGCTTCGATGGTGTGGGGCGAGACGTCCTTCGGCACAGAGGAGCTGCTAATGCTGCGGGGTCGAACTCGTCCTCGTCTTCCGACGGCAGAGCTGCCGGTAGTGTTCCGGCGCCTCTTTCGGTGCTAGACTCTTGGACACAGATTGTTCGAGCACAGCGCAAACTCTTGCGGCGAGGGCAGGGGCGCTTTTTCCTCCACAAGAGCTATCAGCACCATGGGTTCAAAACCAAGCCCTGCGTGCATGGCCCAGGCCCAACCCGCTACATAGTGCATGCTGGCCAATATTTGCGTCAGTCCTTGAAGCATTTTTCGGTGGCTTGTAGGCTGAAGTTGTACTTTTCCATGTTTCTTCCCATACCAGGTTTCAAGAACTAGGCTTGGCGCCAGACATGGCCCATGTATATCCCAGTCTTCTCGAATGGAAAAGTTTTGGCATGCCAGGAGTCACTGAGCTAAGGTGCGACACAGGGCCTTGCAGCACTACAGAGAGCATTTGCGCAACAGGGTGTCACAACCTGCTCCACAGCTTGCCCGGCACATCCCTGTAGCATGCCTGCTTTTTGGAACACAATGTTTTTGTTTTTCGATGCGGCGTGGGGTGGGTCGATGAGTCGGCGAGTCCAACTTTAACCAAGACAGATGGTAATCCTATTTAGTGGTCATTTTTTATCCCCTGCCGCTGCCTTCAGTTCGGAAGCTTAGCACGCAGGAACAAGAGACCTTGGCGGAGTTGGGTCGAGAGGTGGCCCGCGCCGCAAAAAGGCCGAGAACAGCTGCAGCCCCTGCGCCCAGCACAACCAAGAGGCGAAGGAAGGTAGAGCGACTTTGTGCTTCACAAGTGCAGCTACGCAGTGTGGTTGGGGTTGCTTTGTCCGTGGACGCTTTGGACTCCAAAGGTGGCTTTTTTAAAGCCGCGCTGCAAGTGCAGAAGAGCGCTGCTGTGTACATGGAGCAAAGGATTGTCAACCAAGGAGTGGCTAGCACATTGGCCGCTCAGATCGAGAGCTCCCTTGCTTTGGAACAGACAATCGGGGTGTTGCAAAATTTAGTGTCTTTTGTGGGCCCCACTGAGGATGCACTGCGGCTCTCTGATTGGTTTGCCTTCTACTTGGCTTGCCGCTTGATGGGAAAACGTAACATGTGCATCATGTGCTTTTTGTTGCTTTTCCTGCGTCGCCCTTCGTGTTCTGCGATTATTGCCGCGCCGTTTAAAACTATTTCCGCATTCTTTTCTTCGACCTTCAGCATGCAGGTGTCAGTCGCTTCAGCAAATGGTGGCTCCCCACTTTGTGTCGGCTGCCGGAGGTGATGTTGAAGCAGACCTTCCAAGCCGTGCCTTTGTCTTCTCTGGATCCTGGGAAGGACTTGCGCAACGCGACCGCCGATTGCCGCGAGTTGTGCAAGCGCATGGCTCAGAGTTTTGAAGCCCGAGTGCTTCACAACACTGCTTGGCTAATTCCATCGAAAGTTCTTGAGGGCATGGACTGCTGCTTTGACTTCCCTGTGTTCCTTGCCGGTGAAGGTGTCACGGGGGTTGCGCGGGAGGAGGCTTTCTTGACTGTGGCGACTTATTGCCAGCGTCGCTGGCCTTGGACAATTTCCGTGAAGCACCCGACACACCTCCGACGACAATATGCAAATTTCATGGCGTGTTTCTTCTCCGCATCTCGAAAGCACGCAGGCAAGCTTTGGAAAGAGAGCAAATTTCAATGGTGCGAGCTGTGGCGGCTGGCGCATATTGATAAAGATTTCTTTGGCCCTGGCACCAGAGACGCCTTTTTCGTTTTCCATGCCTGCGGTTCCATCCTGTCTTCGGAGGCGTTTTGTGAGTCCCTGGCTTCGCAGCTGAAGCGCTTCACCAAGAGTGGAATACGTGCAGGGCGTGCTGTTGAAAAGTGCCTCCTGAGTGAGAACGAAGGGGCAGTGACGAGTGCGCCGTTTCTCCTCAGGGCATGGGCTGAGACTTCAACCTCGTTCCGCTGTGTGCGGGAAAGGCGACGGGAACGGAGTTTCCCTCTTGGCGGAGGGTCTAAGACCATCCATAACACTTTGCAGCGCAGACGAGGTGCCTGGACCTTTGAGAAGGTCCGCAGCTTGTCGCGGCTCTCGACCTTCAAAAGAAGGTGTGTGAGGGCTTGGGAGCGAACAGCTTCTAAGAAGCTACAGCGGTACGGCTAGAGGGTGTGTGAAAAGGGAAGTTTTGGGCGCTGGCTCTTGTCTGTGTCAAAGGCAAACGGAAGGGTAGTGCACACAGAAAGGGTTTTGCAAAAACCTGTTCTACAAATATCATGGAAGGCCCGGGACATTCATAGAACCCAGGGCTAGTCGTGGACAGTTTGTGGAATGGTGGGCCAGTAGGAGAACTGACTGCAGCGAAATCCCAGAAACCTTCGCAGAACTTCGTTGAAGGTATTTTGATGCACATTCGTACAAGCGATTTTTGCTGACCCCCTTTCCCCACACACCCTCCATTTAGCCTTCATCTGTGGCTTAGGGTTCCTCAACGGCATGAAAGAAATAGTTGCAACGCCATGTCACACTGCAGCTACCGCGAGTGGAGAAGAGACCAAGTCTTTGAGATATGTCCCGTGACCCAAAAATAGGGAATGGCTGGGCTACTTCCTATTGCTGTTGTAGTGAATGCTAAGACAGGTTCAAGAGCTTTCCATCATCTTTGTTGGAAGACCCAAACTCGATGTCGTTGTCAGTCTCTCTGTGGACCCAGCCAGGTATCGCACCTTCGCATGCCACAGCTGAGCGTGGCTCTTTGCCCATCACGCGGCTGTTGCTGGAGTTTGGTGTGGAGCAGGATTCCAGTAGTGCAGCAGGTGAAGTGCCCTTGCACTTCGCAGCTTCGGAGGCTGCGCATGCCATAAGCAGGTACACTATAACAGGTCCAGCAGGTGCCCATGATAAATAAGTTGGCTGGAAGCATGATGTATGCCTCCAGATGTTTTTCGGGTTCTCCATATTTTTCAGATCTTGTTGGATAGACATGTTGTGTGAGTGCATGTGTTTGTCACGAACTCTATGTGTTTAATATTTATTATGTATGTCTTGCGTGTGCTGTGCATACTTGTATGTGTGCATTTGCAGACACATCTACACAATATATTACATATATATATATAAGTTTGTATTTTGTTGATGCGTACGGATCATTGTTACACACATATTTGTGTGGGGAATCGCCTTCGCTCTTTCTACCAAATTGGTTTTTGGCATGTGGCGATTGAACACCTTCGCAAGAGAAAACTCCACACCCATTCTGGCTTGATATTTCCTTAAGGCGTGATAGTTCTCTTGCGTGTAGCCTCCAGCCGACCAAGGATATGCTCCTGCCAGTGGAAATAAGCGCTCTTTAGAGTTTTTGATGTCAATTTGAAGGAACCTAGGCGCCCTGTCTATTTCCACAAAACCATGTCCAAAAGGACACCCATGTTCCGGATGCCATGTACCAGGTTTGGTCTCCGGCGGATGCGAAGATAGCGCAGCTTGAGTTACTCCAGGTACTGATTGCCCTAGTGACGGTTCCTGCGGTTTCGGGGGCGTAGAGGTGTTTGGTACATAGACAATACAAGCGTTCGGCTAGTGAAGATCTTGAACGGATGAGCAGTTTAATCCATCGTTACTCTTTTCCTTGGAATGCTGGATTTACTGGGAGTGGGTGCCTGAATGGCATCGCTCCCATGGTTTTTCATGCGCTCTCGCACACTTCCCGGTTTTGTTATGGTTCCTCCCGTTGCGAGCGGTTGTTCGCTTGGGAGAAATGCTGCGAATGCGTTGGGGTGAAATGCCTTGGGATCGAATCTGGTTGCGATTTCATCCTGGTGTCTAGGGATGGTGCAACCAGGGAGGAGGTCCTGAGGAGTCAGGACGTACCAACGCAATATCCCTAGGGCGGGGTTGTACCATAACACGGAAGTGAATGTGTGAGAGCGAAGAACAAAAAGTGAGCGTTGGAGTAGCACTCACTGGGAGACTTATGATGACAATATAACCCAGACACTCCATGTATGGCATATTTGTATACATTGGGGTGGTTTCAGGGGTCAATGTAGGCATATACCATACATGGAGTGTATGGAATTGAAAAGCCATTGGAGCGCCTCGTGTGGGGAAATAAAGCTCCAGGAAGTCCAACTGTCCTGTTGTAACAGCACCACCCAAAGGGTGGTTTATAGATCTCCCTGACATTCCCTGACTATATGCGTTTACTACCCAATAGCCATCCTTTAGGTGGTGTTTGTGCTGGTAGTCAGTTGTAGTTCCGTAAAATCATTTGTTATTTAGATCGTTTAGATCTCATCATTGGAAGACGTAATCTGGCCGTTTCTTGTACTAGACGATACTTGACGTAATGTGTTGGACAGCTCCAGGAGTTCCAAAAGGGCGTGGTGTTTGGATGTGTTTTTGCGTTTTGTCCCCAAGTGAGTGGGATCATGAACACCCCATACCACTAATATAGCCAATATGCACTAATCGCCAGCGCTTTGGAACCCCTGGTTGATCCATTTGGGGTCTATTCGAGCTCGTTCTTCAATGGGTGAATGAGCCTGGTGATCGCTGTGAAGATTGGTCGACCCGGCAACACTGGCAGGCTGGGCATTGAGAAGAACCCACTTATTCAATGTGCCAAGCGACTCGGAGATCAGGAGGAGCTCATGCTGGAGGCGTGGGAAGCGCTGACATGATCTGAACATCACGTGTCTTTGTGGATCCTTTCTAGACAATTACAAACAGTTGCTAGCTGCTACACTTTGTAGTTGTTGAAGAGAACCTCAAACAGTCAAAAAAGAATCCTTTGAACACATATATTTGTATATATGACGACCTTAAAAAACTATTCTTTTTCAACAGGCTCATGAATGATGTCGATTTCTCGAGTTTTGCCTGCGACGATTCGCAGTTCACCGATTCATTCCAGCGACGGTTCCGGGAGAAGGGACTCTGCAGAGTCCAGGAGTTCCTTTTGTGTTACTACTAGGAACAAGAACGCTACTAGGGGCTCCTGGCATCGTTACTAGGAGCAAGGACCTTACTATTGGAACTAAACCTTGCTTCACATCCGAACTGAGGATGTTATATAATATGGTCATATACTACCAGTAGTACACTCCAGCGTTTGCTTCCCCAGCGGCTTGTCCTTTACTCGATGTACGAGTGCCGATGCATTCAGAGTACTTCCTCTCTTCCTCTATTCCTCTCCGTCGTCGCTGAGTGCCTTCGCTGAAACGGGAACCGATGTGACAGGTACCCGATCTGAGCCTCAGAAGGGCAGATCCTGGCGCGGAAGAGATGAAAAACCAGCGATCTCGTGCGCCTGAGACGGGACCAAGTGGAGACAGAGGAGAGATGGGGCGTGAGGGGATGGTGCGTGTTCCTTATTTTTCTTTGCGCCGGGTTGTTCGACGAGTCCAGGTATCGGGTGCACACCCCACTTCACACATGGCAAACTCGTAAGTTTCGGCTTGTTGGCAAGAGGTTGGACGTAGGGAACATGTCTTTCAGCTAGCTCAAGATGTGTGGGGTGAATGATGACGACTTCCAGCCCTGCTAGGAACAAGTGCATCGCTACTAGGAACAAGGTGTCTTACTAGTAACATTTAAAAGGCTATTAGGCACAACAGAAATCTCAAGAAATCGAACCGACGACAGGTGTTCCGTTGGTCATCCTGGAGAATCGAAGCAACCCCACACACGGGGGCTGCTTTCTTTCAGTGGTAACACAATAATTGGGTGTAAACACCGCCGGGTTGCTTCGCTGCCGTTTGGTGGATCTGAGAATTGAGAATTGCACGGAACATGGCCTCCAAAAACGGGAAAACTGCACGTCTCCAAGAACAGGTGGAGTTTGAGCAGATCATGCTCGCCGTCAAAAGCACATCAGTTGGCCACGCGGATCTTGAACGAAAGTGCTGCTGCGTTCGGCATGGATATGCGACCTAAGTCACATGTTGGAGGAAAAATGATGAAAAATGGATGTTGGATGTGTGCTTAGTTGAATGGTTGTATGGGTGGTCACCGGCAGGAGGGATTTGTTCTTGTTCGACCTCAGTCGAAGCTTTGCGCGGAATTTGCACTTTGAATTCGCTTCGTTTTGTCAAAACCATGCCGATGATCATCGAGGAGATGGACGAGGACTGGGTCAGCATCACCAATATGCCAATGGGTGGCGGGTAGCTGTAAGTGTAAGACTCCTACTTTGCTTGGTTTGTTATTAATAATATAAATAAATAAATATATATATATATATATAATATATATATACTGGTTAAAGGGGGGTGTTCATAGTTGACTCATGTCCATGCAGGGGCAGTTGCCGATCAGTAACCCGCAGAAAACACAGAGTCTGAGGAATTCAGATGTGGAATTCCTAAATCAGTACAGTACATGTGTTTAGGATGTTACATTATGTTGCATTCAGAATCAGTACATATTTGCTTCATGTGTACCAGCACCACCCAGTGCGGGTGGTTTTGTTGGATTCAATCGAATTCCTTGACTTCCAAAAACCCAGGAGCCCATGAGCACGGCCTTTGCCTTCCATTATCTAGCTGATGCCCAGCAGGGGCGGCTCAGATGTTCGGAGACAGCCTTTGGCAGGGTATTGTCAATTGATGCAGATTTGTTTTTCCCCACGCGTCAGGTGAGTTTTTTTTAGACATTATGGCCTTCCTCCGCCTCCGCCTCCTCCGCCTCCGCCTCCTCCGCCTCCTCCTCGTCCAGACCTCAACCGCAAGTTGTGCTTGGCAGCGTTCCCCGCGAGACCTCAACCGCCAGCTCCAGATCACAAACACACGAACACAAACGCATCCACAAACACAATGACAATCACACGACAACCACAAACACAAACACATCCACAAACACACACTCACAACACACACACACACACAATCACAAACACAACCACAAAAATGACCCCAACACACAACCACAACACACAACCAGAGCACACAACCCGAGGACCTACAAGCAAAATTCAGAACCAAAAAACTCACGACCATGGCAACATGTTTCTTACCACGGCGTGAAGACAAATGATTAAAATGTCGCAAAGTAACTGATGTTTTTGATTTTTTTTTGTGGTCCTGTTGCTGGAACTCTGCTGCTTTTGCTGCCCGGATTTGATTGTCCAGATGGGTCTTGCGGTAGTGGCTTTAAAGCTTCTCAGCGTGGCTTTGAACACTACAGGTTTGCCTTTGAGGGGCTCTTACTCTTTAAGAACGGGCGCTCTTGCTGGTCGTAGACGATGTCGCAGGGACTTTTTTGTTTTTTCCACAAGATTGGTTGCTTCAGTTGCCTCGCAGTCTCCTGCTGTCGGCAGCGAATGTACTTAAGGGTTGCTTTTTTGCGATGTCTCCGTCTCCGTCCTGGGCACTGGTGGGTTGGGCGTTGAAAAACCGGGTCGTGCTGTTGAACGAGGAATGTCTAAAGCCGTCGTACCCTTGAGGCGCCAGACTGGTGTAACTTGAACGACAAAAGAACTGCGACATACTGTCACTGTAGAATCTTGGGGCCTTGGCAGAACGCAAAGCACCACGTGCTGTAGGGATGGGAACCCTGCTTTGAAATCTGCTTTTGAATTTTGTGCGATGAGACGCCAGTGGCAATCGTTCAGCACAAAGGCATACCTACGTAGGTTGACCTTTGTGACACGTGCAAGCACAAAGGCTGGTGAACTTGAGTGTATTTGTCCTGTTTGGAGTGCTCTCCACTGGTGCTCTCCACTCGGTATGTGCAGCGGCATGTGTCCATATGCAGCGTGCAGCGAAACAATGAAACACGCCGGCAATCTATCCTTACCATATACGTAGTTATAGTACCATGTGCAATCATGTGCAATCTGATTTGGTCCATATGATTCCTGGCGCATTAAATTGAATACAATGAACCTCTGATATCCAGATTCACCAACCGTCAAGGCACCTGCAAAATCCTGCAAACAAAAGAGACGAAAACTGCCGCTGGGCAACGCATCAAATCCTACGAATCAGTTCTCCGAAGCATCAAATCCTTTGAAGTTCCGAGCTCCCAAAGACCCCGTTCCTCGTCAGAACTTGACCGTGTTTGGTTGCCGAGTTCAGCTGCCGCCCTCTGTGAGGTTCAGCTCCTTTCAGAACCCCGAGATACAGCCCTTCTTTGAGAAGTGGGGTTTTGGCGCTGACATGGAGACTCAGCTGTGGGGAGTGATTTCAGAAGATGTTGTTTTCTGGAAGAGCGTTAACATGGACCATGACCAGTATAGTGGGGATTGGGATACCAAAATGATCAAAATGGTGGTCAAAAGTTGTTGTTACCTGTTCCGAGATGTTCAAGAATGTTCAACAAAGATATGTTTTTGGGTGATCAGATGATCAGATGATATTTGATATCAGATGTTGTCCATATTAACTTTTGGCTACAGCGGAATACCGGTTTAGGGCCAATCAGCTTGTGGGATAGGTTTTTTCTATCCAAGAGTCCAAGAGATCCGAGGTTTCGAGCGATAGGGCCGCGATGTGTCGCTGCAGATTCGTGGCGCGAAAAACCTTTCCTTTGGCCATTTTGGTTGCTAGACTTCTCAATACGTACTTCTCAAGGATTCTCAAGGAGAATCATCAGGGTGTTTTTTGTATTGGCCCGCTCTGTTTAAGGCCATGTGCACCTTCAGGGTCGAGCAAAAGGCAGGATGAGTTTGGTGCAGAGGGTTAATTGAGACTGGATCGAACCAGTACGAACCCCTCATCCATCCTGGTCGGGTTCGCGATGTCTGGTTTTGCCCCAAAACCAGCGACGATCCGACCCTGGTGGATGACCCTGGATCCACGCCCCACGTCTCCGACCGGGTACGTGATCGCAGAATCGGATCGCCATGTGCCATGGATCTTCCTCCCAAGTGGAGTCTTTGCACCAGAATTTGCTCCTTGGACCAGTTTGCATGGGTGTCCATAACATGGTTGCCCCTTCATCACTCCAAATATAACCTGCTTGGTCAGTTTGGTAGGTTGAGACCCTCAGAATTGTGCAAAAAACATGAACAAACACTCCTGGACCATCCAATGGGTGTCCACTCGTAATCCATAAGGTTCCATAAGTAGTGTAGTTGCATCATACTATGCAATAATATATATATATATATGCAAATTTATGTGCGAACATGAATCTTCCACAAACGCAAGCTGTATCAATGTTCAACATCTGAACAATTCTGAACAAACCGCAAAAACGGCCTCCAAAAGAGGTGCCATGTAAGTCTGGCATTGTCTACAATGCTTGCACCCAGCCGGGCCAACTGCTGACCATCGTGGCCGCCGTTAGAGCGAGATCCACTGAGCCTGAAACAGCCCGGTCACTCGCAGGGACGCAGGACAGCTCACGTTCGCAGGTGACGTCTGAGAGTTTCCAAGAGATGCTGGATGCCTTCTTCAAAGACAGGCCATGTTTTTTTGCTGTGGGGGTTGCCGTAGAGGCAGGTAGGTAGGTAGGTAGGTATAGCTAGTAGAAGAGGTAGCTACCAGTAACTGTAGTAGCTTACTTAAGCTACCAGTATGGACACGGGACAGCTCACGCTTCTTCAAGGAAGCTCCCCCCGCCACCCTAAAGGCGGCGGGCTAAGCTTCCTTGAGGAAGTGCTCGCACTAATGATTTGGTTTCTAGATTTTTAGGGAAACTTAAGCTAACTTAGGTAAGGGAGCCGAACTCCGAACTCAGTTTGTTTCAGTTTCAGCCTGCTGCAGCCCATGGTGGGGATTCATACCGTTGACTTCCAAAGGAGTCGTGGGCCACTTCATTGCTCCAAGCCGCTTCTGTCCAGGGAGGTCTTGTCCGTCTTGCATGCGAGCACCGGCGTCCGAGTGTGACACTCCCAGATGGGCAGATGGTGCTGTGTCGCATGGATGTGGAGTTGGTCCTGGGCTCAAAAAGTGTGAAGGTTGAAAAAAAGTGTGTGTGTGTGTCTATATATATATATCGATATAGAGACTGGGTGCACGAGTGAGATTGTACAGGCAAAATCTCCTCTTATTGCTGTTTGTCTCAACACCAAGTGCGTACAGGCAACGTCTCCCGAATGTTTGCTTTGCATTCTGAACCCTGAATTGATTTTTTGCTGTTCGGCCTTGGCGTTTCAATCCTGTCATCGGCCCCCTTCGATCTATACCGGTCTCCCTTCAGCATCTCGGAGCAGTCCGACGTCCGAGGATCAGCCCATCCAAAGTGGCCGTCCAATGGCAGCCGATGAGCACCAAGGCCTCGGTTTGCAGGTCGAACCTGCACCTGATACATCCTGGACACATCCTGATACATCCTGACACCCAGGTCAATTTGTCCGGCTTTGGAGGGTATCGTTGGAGATGTGGATGGATTTGGGCCTCCCAAAGTAGTTGGATAGGAAAGGGTTCTGTGGAAGATGAAGTACATTGGATTGCGATGTTCTGAAGCCAGAAGTGGGGCAACAAATGCTGTACGGACAAAGACTTAATGTGGCTATACGTGGCTTGGAACGGGTTGAGCCCAGCCCAGCGTGTTTTGTGGTGGGAAGTGTTCCTTTTTTTAAGCAAGTCAGGCAAAAACAGCCCAGCATGTGATGTTAAGAACGATTGTAATTTTCACAGATGTTTTCTTCAACATTTTGCAACGACGTATTTCTACATTTTTCTTAAGTACTTTGTTTACTTGGTTTGCGGGTAAATGAGTGTAATTGTGACATACATTGATTTTTTTATGTTGTTTAGTATTGAACAGCGGGATGAGTTTTGGTCAGGATATTTTTTGCAGCTTAGATGACCTAATAAAATACACCCGATCTGCAATCTCAGTCGGAGTCTCAGAGATCTACCACCTGGAAACAGATGGAAAAATGGATGAAACATCTCTATTTTTCGAGTTCTCAACAGATGTCTAGCAGTATAGCAGTAGCCTCCAGCTCGTCCAGGTAGTGAGTATGTCCTTCTTCAACAAGCTGGAAGACGCAGGTTGTATCAGCAGCTCAGGCCAGGCCGCGCGCAAAGCAGCGCAGTGTGTGCGCAGAAAGCGCGCGCGCGCGCGCGGGTGTGTGTGTGTGTGTGTGTGTCACACTTTGTTTCCAAGAGTTTTTCAACACGCAGGGGGTGGCAGCAGGAACGAGAGTCTGCCACCAACGAAGACACTCTCGATTTCCTGGTGATACTGGGACTGATCATCCCAGCGTACCTGCCGTGATCGCAAGCTGTGACTCCAATTTCCTCCGGTTTGTTTCCATGGTTGTTGCATGCTACTTCTGTGAGGTTCGACCTGCCCGAAGACGGGCTTCCATCCATTCAAGATTGGATCCAATGCGCCACATCGATGTTGATTGATGGCCCGATGGCCTTGATTTGCAGCGGGAGCCCCTGGATGTCAGCATCCAAGACTGTAGTGCGCCAGATGCAAATACCGAAGTGGGTTGGCAATTCGGGGACTCGGGAAAATGCATGATTCGTTATCATCTTGAGCGTCTTGCGCAACATGTGTTAAACAATTCTTTTCCACAGACTCTGCCACCTATCTGTTCCTTCACCATTTTCGACCCGGGAATTGAGTTAACTGCAAACCCAATATCAAAGTGTGTGTGTGTGTGCCACCCTCCGTCTCCAGGAGTTCGTTCCATGACTACTCACGTTCCTTTTGTTTTACCCAAGAAAAATGCGGGGGACCAGGCAGGATACATCGTCGCCTGCTCAACGAAGCTGGCGAAGTATCCGAGGAAATGGAAATGGGACGCCATTTCCACATACCTGCGGAAACTGTTGGTTTCTTTCTCCGCTGTGGTTTGTTTCCATGGCGTTTGCATGATAGTCCCCATACACCTTTCCTTGCACGACGCTAATTCGATCGGCTACGTATTCAGTAGCTAGGGTCCGCAGTCGCGCAAACTTTCTTGTTAAACGCCTTCAACTCCACCAACCCAGCCGCCTTTTCGTCTGCGTCCATTTTGTCGGGGATTGTGATATTGAAAACCCTGTGACTAAGTGTGTACCGCTGTGTCTTCCCACTGGGTACACAGTGTGATCCTCTCGCAAGAGAGGCACTGAAGCCATCGTGGATCACATATCAAATTCTCGGTACTGCCCTCTTTGGATTATTGGTTTTGGCTTGATTTGTTTCACCCCTGATTCAACCGACATGACGCGCCGGGCATACGGTTTTGACGCCGCCGGGCTTGCGGCTTACACACACATGGACATACACCCCTTCATTTCCCCCCCGGCTTTCTCTCGTGCGCTTTCTTCGTTTTCTAGGTGCTCTTTCGGGCTTGTAAGGTGGTTCCTGAGGCTCGTTTCCCCTCAGTGTTTTAGTCAAGGGCTAAGTAGTCAAGTGCTAAGTAGTCACCTCTTCCGCTACTCCTATCTTTTTCTCTCGCCCTTTTCGTGTCTTTGTTTCTTTTCTGGTGCTTTTTAAGTGCCTACCGAGGTTTTGACCCGTAATTTGCCGCTCGCGCGGCAGACCTTCACGCCCTTACACCTACCTTTTTCTCCTGCCCTCTCCGTTTTCCGTTTCTTCTTTTTCCTTCTTTTCTTTTTTCTAAGGCTTGGTAGGTGACTATTTAGGTTTAGCGCAGCAGCGTGCAAACGCTTTTTGAAAGGCACAAGATCCGCCTCGCAACAAGTGCCGGAAATCGGCGTTTTGTGTGTGCGTGTGTCACCCTCTGTCTCCAGGAGTTCGTCCCATGACAACTCACGCTCCTGTTGTTTTACCCAAGAAAACTGCGGGGGACCAGGCAGGATACATCGTCGCCTGCTCAACGAAGCTGGCGAAGTATCCGAGGAAATGGAAATGGGATGCCATTTCCACATACCTGCAGAAACTGTTGGTTTCTTTCTCCGCTGTGGTTTGTTTCCATGGCGTTTGCGTGATAGTCCCCTATAGCTTTCCTTGCACGACGCTAATTCGATCGGCTACGTATTCAGTAGCTAGGGTCCGCAGTCGCGCAAACTTTCTTGTTAAACGCCTTCAATTCCACCAACCCAGCCGCCTTTCCATCTGCGTCCATTTTGTCGTGGGTTATGATATTGAAAACCCTGTGACTAAGTGCGTACCGCTGTGTCTTCCCACTGGGTACACAGTGTGATCCTCTCGCAAGAGAGGCGCAGAAGCCATCGTGGATCACATATCGAATTCTCGTTACTGCCCTCTTTGGATTATCGGTTTTGGCTTGATTTGTTTCACCCATGATTCAACCGACATGACGCCGTCGGGCATACGGTTTTGACGCCGCCGGGCTTGCGGCTTACACACATGGACATACAAACCCCTTATTTCCCCCCCGGCTTTCTCTCTTGCCCTTTCTTCGTTTTCTAGGTGCTCTTTCGGGCTTGTAAGGTGGTTCTTGAGGCTCGTTTCCCCTCAGTTTTTAGTCAAGGGCTAAGTAGTCAAGTGCTAAGTAGTCACCTCTTCCGCTACTCCTATCATTTTTCTCTCGCCCTTTTCGTGTCTTTTTTTCTTTTCCAAGGCTTTTTAAGTGCCTACCGAGGTTTTGACCCGTAATTTGCCGCTCGCGCGGCAGACCTTCACGCCCTTACACCTCCCTTTTTCTCCTGCCCTCTCCGTTTTCCGTTTCTTCTTTTTCATTCTTTTCTTTTTTCTAAGGCTTGTTAGGTGACTATTTAGGTTTAGCGCAGCAGCGTGCAAACGCTTTTTGAAAGGCACAAGATCCGCCTCGCAACAAGGGCCGGAAATCGGCGTTTTGTGTGTGCGTGTGTCACCCTCTGTCTCCAGGAGTTCGTTCCATGACAACTCATGCACCTTTTGTTTTACCCAAGAAAAAAACACAGGGGACCAGGCAGGATTCATCGTCCCCTGGTGGCGACGCATCCGAGGAAATGGAAATGGGACGCCATTTCCACATACCTGCGGAAACTGTTGGTTTCTTTCTCCGCTGTGGTTTGTTTCCATGGCGTTTGCATGATAGTCCCCTATACCTTTCCTTGCATGACGCTAATTCGATCGGCTACGTATTCAGTAGCTAGGGTCCGCAGTCACGCAAACCTTTTGTTAAGCACCTTCAATTCCACCAACTCAGCCGCCTTTCCGTTTGCGTCGATTTTTTCGTGGATTATGATACTGAAAATCTGTGACTAAGTGTGTGACTTGAATGTGTGCACAGAGGTACTGAGCAAGAAAAACAATTGGATCCAAGGGCATGTCATCGATATTTTGAGATAATAAAATTAGTTAGAGGGCAATTTGGTTCTGACCGTTGTGACCTTTAAACCTTGCTACCACAAAGGACCGTTGGCCAAGAGGAAGGGCCAACGACCATTGTTAATGCATCTCAGGCCACATCCGAGGGCGTTTGGAGGAAGATTGGGAAGATGTGCCTATTGTGCCAAGCTCAGACATGTCGTGAGACCAAGAGAAGGGAGATGACCCGAGACGCACACCGTTCGACACCAATCTGACCGAACTTTGCTTGGACCTTCATGCGGACATGTCACAACAGTGGATGGACTTGGTGTGCGGACAGTAGTGACCACCTGGGCCGTTTACTCAGCTCATGCCCTGAAAATCATGGCCAATACTCACTGGAATGGTTGTGGTTCTTTGGCCAGCTGGCTCTGGTTCTCCAAAAACAATGCGTGCCGCAATGCGCACGCAGGCTACCTCACGCTCCCAGACTCCATTTTTTGGAGAACCGGAGATCAGAAATCTCATCTCGCCGTTCACGACACTCTGAGGTCAATATGATCCGCGAGGACGAAATGAACGAAACGCCAAAACAAACCCGGTTGTTCAGCAAATGGACCAACCGGACATCCGGACCGATGACGCCTGGGGCATTGGGCAAACGGGCAAAACGAGCAGTTTGATCTCGCCGATATGACAATGCAGATCTCCCAAAAAAAATTGTTGCCATGTTCCTTTTCTGAACATATCTGAACATCAGACTCAGAGTAATTGAGTTGAAACGGTTCCAAAGCTTTGTCAAGGACAGTTGAACAGGTCCCAAACGCCACCAACACCAGTTCTTATTGTTATTGTTTTGTCTGCAGGCCATGCTGATGGAGGAGAGTGAACTCTACGAGACCTTCTCTCCGGAGGACCGCCGCGAGACCGGGCGCCTGGTCAGATGGGCACCCCGTCGACGGACCCCGCTCCTGCCTGAAGCCTCCCGCGGTGATTCGCAGGATGTTCTTTGGGCCCCGCAGGAAAGGTCCAAAATGGTCCATCAAGATCCATAAAGCAGTTTTTCTTTGGGGGTGGTGGTGCTCCATGGCAGAAATGTGTTTGTTTTTCCTCAGCAGACTCCGCAGCTCGCATGATCGCACCCTCTCGATCACAGGCCCAGGAGTTGTTCAGGCGATTTTCTTGGAATGTTCGGAATGGGCATGGCCAGCATGGCCAGCATGACATGGTACAAGTTCTGTAGAAGGTCTTGTGGGTGACATGGCACGGTGTGAAGTGGCCAACACAGGTCCACGGCTCGCTTCATTGGAATACTGTCCTTTAGAAGCAGTTGTTTTATTTCCCGCTTCCGTCTGTCCATCGGAGTGTAGCTGCATATAATCACCCTGAGTCCCAAGAGCGACAGGTATAGCAGTCAGGGAAGGCGCGCATTAAGGAGATGTGTAATTAGATCCAAGATCGTGCATTGATGCGTGCAGGCGCAGTTCAAGGCACATAGATAGACCATCCATGGGACTGGAATAGACTCTTGAATAGACATGCCTTTCCCATTTACTGTATGACCATTGACCATCACACTTCCATACATGGATGATTTTGGGAACGACTTGATGACTTGATATGACCTAGATATCACCTCAAGAACGCACAAATCTGCCTCCTCACATTCCTTTAATGGTGCGCACATCTTGTGGGTCGGAAGGCCACGCAAAGCCACGCAAGGCCACGCATCTCATGCGTCCCCAGGTTTTTGTTCCGCATTTTTCAGCACCTGGTCTTTGGTGGCGCATCGAACCAGTGCCCCGAGTCTTGATGATCGTTCTTGGGAGACGATCTCTTTGCCTCGGGACTCCTTCGTTCGTGTGATTCAATTGCTTTGAGCTTTAGTCCTTTTTTTGCCTTGTTGCAGAATATATGTTGTTTACATTGTATGAATAATTTATACTCATTTATGCACAAACGTATATTGGTTTATGTCGATTTGTGGATCCTTCACTATTTGGGCACTTTTGGGAGGAGCACTTCCTTGCCTGGGGGTACAGATGTTCGACCCACGGACACCAAAAAAGGGTGCACCCTCTAGTTGACTGTGCATCTTACGGCGATCCGAAAACCTCCTTCAACGCGCGCGGAGCCCGTTGGTCGGGGCCGCTGAATGTCGGTGATCAGTTGACCAGATCTGCGCGGCCGTTGCCGAACGAAATCGCCAGATCCAACGAACTCTTCCGCAAATTGCGTGAAGATCGCCGGTCTTCCAAGATGCCAGGTACGAAGATCACGTTGAGGACGAGAGATGGAACGACGCAGTGTTTCAAACGCGGGCAGACTTCGTTCCATCCTCTGCCAGTTCGACATTCGCGGTGCGAACAGAAGAGGTCTTTGGTGCGGAACGACCTGTTTGGGACTGCCAGCCGTTGGCCGAGAAACGGCCTATGGCCTATGGCCGGGTGGTCTCCAGGTGCGAGCTAAGGGGTCAGTTGCGGACTGCATATGGACTCCAGTCCTGTTTGGAGTGTTTGGAGGTGTTTAGGGGTTTGGTGAGGGTACCCCTGCAGGAGGGTCCCGGGGTGCCCCTCGGATAGATCGACCGGGATCCCGCTTGGCGGTTGAGTGTTTCAGTACGGTGCCAGAACAGAAATGAACACTTTCAAAAGTACAAGACCTTTTGGATGGGATCATTATCCAGTGTTTTTGGTGAGTAACCTGTTCTTTTGGACTGGAGTCTTTTAGTAACTTCTCAGCTCCATCACTGGCATAAAAAGATATACGAAAACTAAGATGGTCTCCAGTCTCCAGGTGCTGGATGCAAGGAATTATTTTTGGGGGGGATCCGAAGGATTCAGTTTTGGTACCTTTTTGGGGGTGGGAAGTCCTGGACCCTCATTTCCTACAAGTCGCAGTACGAAAAAAAATGCACTCGACCGGACGTCTCAAAAACGACATCACCGGGGTTCGTTTGCTTCGGCACGTACCGCAGGACTACTTCAAGGCCACCAAGGCTGTCTATAAGGCCCAATCCCAGGGAACGAACCATGAAATTGAGAGGGGCGAGGACGCAAGAGTATATGGACGAGTCGAATGGCGGACGATGGGTGGATCTTGATCAAGTGCATGACTCCTGTTCACGAAGTATTTCACGAAGTGTTGCACCAGGTTGGACTGGTTGCAGCAAATGGTTCAGTTGAAAAATGACAAAAAAAACTACTCTGATCCCATTCCCCACCTGATGTTGAACATGGTCGAACCTCAGCGGGCCATCAGGACCTGATTCAAGGTCCGCCCCCATGCCCTAATGTTGACATATAGGATTAGCATGGATCAACCCACCCTCCCCATATATCAACCAACCTTCCTATGCCCCACTGGCAGGAAAAGATAACCCCTTCGGTGTCCCGGTCGCAATGACACAGACCTCCAGGACCTCCTTTCAGTCCGTCGCAATGACACGGGCGACGTGGAGGCGACGGGCCGTCGGTCACGCGCGGGACGGTCCCGTCGGTTCTGTAGATGGGCAAGATGGTACACCCTGACTCGCGTTCCATGGAAGCGGATGGCCCTTTTCTGTTTTGTTTGTATAGGAAAGTAGTAGTTGAAGGGACCGTGCCATCCACTTCCATGGAACGTGATTCAGATGGTATCCAATGCAAGAACTGCGGTGGACTAGTAGAGGAAACAGTGGACTCCTGCGTTCATTATACAGCTAGCTTTTCAGTTGCGGCAGTCACAGACCAAATGAGGGGGTATGAGAACTAATTTACAGTTCAGCAGTTTGCTACACAATTGCTGAGATCTGTGCCATGAAGAAGGGGCTGATGCTTTCAACGAATCAAAGGAATCAGACGGCGCTATGGTAGATCCAGGAAAAGGCTGCACTTTAGGGCGCTTCTTGAGGTGCTTTCGACGGTGGCATCCGTGGAGTCGCTGAGCGATGGGGGCGTTTTGTACCGGAAGGAGAGGGATGGAGTCGATTCGGATGAAAGAATGGAACCGGCTCCCTGGCATTGCAGAATGTGAGACATTCTTCGGCCGGTCTTGTGAATGATTTGATATATATTACTATATTTTATATATTATGGAACATCAATGAAGATCACTCTTTGCAAAGAAAGTGCATTCCAGACAAAGAATTTACATTTACATTGAATTTTGGACATCCAACCTATTGTTCCGCAGGACAGCTTGCTGAACTTTTGCTACGTGATTCACGACCCTGCCCCGGGCCCACTGGGGTCAAGTAAACTTTTCACCCAGAAGGTGATTTGGGCATTTCTGGTGATTCTTGTGCCAAGCATTGTGAAATACTCTTTCGCTCATGTCCTTGCATGCTGATAAGAAGCGAATCAAACTGATGGGAGTCACTGATACCACATCTCAGTCTGAGGTTGTGAGGCATGTCAAAGTTTGGTCGGGCCCTCGGTGAGGATTACACTGGAGTTGCTCAGAATTGATCACAATTGTTGTAGATGTCTTGTGAAAGTTCAAGATCAAGGTATTTTCAAGATTCTCAATAAACCTTTATATCAAGGGATCAGATCTGAGGTATTTCGGCTTCCGAGCTTTGTGGTAAAAGAAACCACAATCGAATACGAAATGAAAAAGACAATAATTCATATAATAATTCAGATACATAGATAATATTATTGCATCAAACGGTATTCCTTCAACAGATATCTAACGTTATAAGGTCGAATATTTTAATTTGTCTGATCATATTATTCGATATTTATGCTAATTTAATAAATATATTAATTAAACAATAATATTCTAAAAATAATATATAATTGTTGTCTTTGATAGAAATATGAATATATTTTGATAATTTATATAAATAAGAAAATTAAATATATGTATGTAGTTCATGTGATTTGGGGACGGCGTTAGTTCGGGTTTACAGCTTGCATGGAGGGTAGGCTCCTAGTCGTTTCGGCCGCCAGTGGATCGATCTCCTCTGCATTGTTGTGGCTTCTTAATGAATCTTTGAGGGAGCCTAGTGATCTTATCGTTGCGCTACCATCTGGGGATCTCGATTTTTGCCATTATTGGAACATCTTTAAGGTAGATTTCTGGTGCAGACTTTTCATTGGATTCTTTTTGTGACCTTTATTCGAGGTGCTTGTTTTGGTTAAGCAATGGGTTATTTTATCGTTGCGCAATCGGATTTTTTGGCATCTCGCTGTCCATAGGGAAGCTTTACAAGGTGATTTGATCAATAGGCGGCTAGTCATCCGGGCATGCCCTGTTGAAGTGGCAGCCTGACATGGAAGTAGGAGACGACGGCCTAGCCAGGCCTGAAGCCCTTGTGGTTGAAGACCTTAAAATTGAGGCCCTCCACTCACCTGAAGGCATTTCCTATTCCTTTAACATAGGGACCTACTAAGTCGGTGGCAGTTTCAACGAGATTGTTGCCATAGCGCTCATTGCTTATGTTGAAGACAGGTTTTTGGTTTGTGGGCCCGGCGCAGCCTGGCACAAAAAGCCAGACAGACGGAAGCTGCCTGCTGGAACGTTGGAAAAGCCAGTTTCTCTTTTGGTCGCTACCTGCAACTCAGAGCTGCGCACTGAGGTTGATCCACAGTTGCTTACAAACGTTTGGATAGGCTGGTTGAGGAAAGAGCTGCGCGTAGAGCTGAACTTTTCTCTGGCCGAACAGGCTACCATTGAGTTTGTCAGCAAGGATACCGAGGAGCCATGCTTACCCTTTATAGAAGCGTTGATCTCTGCAGCGGAGGAAAAATTCCAGATTTCTTCTCCCAGTCCGGAGGTCGTCCAATAGCAGTGCCTGGATCGCCTCGAGGAAAAATTCGAGGAAGTTCAGTCAGGCATTGCAAAGCTACTTAGCCTGCAAGAAGGCAAAGACGGTGCTGGATTTGCCACGGCTGCCGAAGAGCACCTCCGAGATACACCAAAGCCGTCACCGAAGCCAAAGCAGAAAACCCGCTCGGTCAACCCCCCTCCCGGGCTTGCAAAACTGCGCGCTTATCCGGGGCTGGACCCAACAATTGTGGCAGCGGCGCGTCAAGCTGGCGTTCCTTCTACACACTTGGAAGCGATGGCGGGAGCTTTGAAAGTAGGACCTGGCAAGCTGGACGATTTTCCAAAGAGTGCAGCAGCTGCCCCTCCACTTTTT